ACACATGTTTAACTCCTAAATTAATATTCTGATCAATGGAATTCATAATTGCTCAAATGCTTGATGTGCCTACACACGCCTAAATGTGTGTACAATATGCAGCTTTAGGGATGTTTTTTAAGCTGCTTTTTCCTGTCAGGAGTAAAAAGAGTTGAGAGGAAAAATTCAAACTCCCTGTGTGCCCAAAACTTACACAGACTCACACTTCATCCAGGCTTCTTTTATTGAGATTATGATAAGACTGTGTTACTCCCTTGGAGTCCTATTATGGTTGCCAGTCCTGTTCTTGATAAATTACGATTTATGAGCTCTGAGCTCAGGGGTTTTGTTTTTCAGGGGGACACACATTTTAGTCGATCAGATGCCATGGAGAACCCAGCATGGACAATAGCTGTAGTTGAATACCCTAACATGAGTTGGAATTCATTGCTGGGGTTTTCCATCTACCTATGGTGGTCATCTATGGCACCTTGACATTTTTCCTTTCCTTTTTGTATTATATCACGCTTTTTTGTAGTTTAGATCTCTGAGCAGTAAGCTGTAGTTATGTACTATTAGGTTACTGAATATTAGTGGAGAGAAAAATATTTTACCCGTAACAGATCACGGCTTTTTCAGAAATTAACTGTCAAATTGTCTGATGTATAGTTTGTATTGTTCTTTGCAGGCTCTACGTTCTGCTTAGTAGTGCAACCTAATGTTATGCTTTGCTAATCCTTTGGTCTCACTGCAGTTCTACTAGGTAGGGTCTGTGTGACTGAAAACAATATATTCACTGCAGACTCTCACAATGAAAAAAAATGTGAATGCTCTTGATAGCCAGAGGCCATGTAGTCTTTTCCTTGGTTTTATGTCATATGAGGAAACTCAGAGTAATGTTTTCTTCTAGTTTAGTTTTTTGCTTTATTCATAGCAGGAAAGAGGTTCTTGTTTCATGAAGTAAACCTGTACTTTGCCAATGTAGGGCTCTGCGCAAAGCTCATCTATGTGCACTTTGCTTTGGTTATAAATTGGGGTGGTTGCCATTTTTGTTTAGCCAGCAGTGTTTTAGGCTGGTGTGAATTGCAGCGGCAGCAATCTTTTGATGCTTGCTGTGACTGTGAGTGGATAGGTGTAGCCACTGTCCCCATTCACTATTTAGACAGGTCACTGGTGACAGCATCTATTCAGCAGTGATTGCTGCTGGACGCACTTTGAGTGCGCCCTCAATGTGCTTCCAGTAACACACTCTGCAGGTGCAGACAGCCACAAATAGCTGCAGCCTCCAGCGGTGTGTGTGGTAAGGCTTGTGGTGGATAAGATTTTTTGTCCTTGTACTGCAGATTGCAAATGAGACAGGGCAGACTCCTAGCCTGACCTGCACCCTCAGTGGAATACCCCGAATGGAGACATATATGTAGGGACCCTACAGTCAACTTAGGTTCACAGTGATTTGGGAACCAGTTAAATTGGTGGGTTTAATTTCACTATAAGAAGGAATGGGCTGCCTCCAGGCATACCTTTCCTTAATGTATCCATATATACTCCAACATGAAGGCTTTCGTAGACTAGAGTTAGGGACCACACTTCACATTGGAGCTTTGACAAGGCAGTGTGGTTTCCTCTTTTTTTAATACCAATTGTTAGGCATTGTAGTTTTTTTCTGGCTAGCTGGTAGATGTGTTAGGAAAATGCTTTACTTTCTCTGGGCAAAGCCCTTCCATGTTCACTTTACTTAAAGTGAAAGTTCACCTTTTCAGAAAAAATGAAAGGGGAACTAACAGCCTACATCCACTCCAAACCCTCAAGCCTGCTATACTTACCTCCATGGGTTATGAGCTGTCAGTGCCCATGCAGGTAATGCAGCAGCCTGGGGATTTAAAAATCCCTGTTCTCCTCCTTCTTCCTGCCGGGCTTCCACGACAGATCAGATCGGTTCTGATTGATTGGTCAGTGTCTGCACAACGCATAGCTCTGATCTGTCCAAGAAGCACTGCAGAAAGAAGTGGGAGAAGACTGACTTGCTGTTTACTTAGTGTGGGACAGTGACATAGCTTACAAGAAAGCTAAATAGGTTTGACTTCTTGTTTCTGTAACTAGGGTACAATCTTAGTGTCAGAAAATGGCAGTTTCCTTCAGACACTTCTCATCCAGATACTTGTACTTTATGACACAGAAGGTCATAGCCTAGAAGGTCCTTTTTCACAAAACTATTACATATGTATTTCTGGCTTTTGTTAGACAACACTCAAGACTGTTGAAATGATTTTCCAGCTTGTAGAACAAGGAAGTCCTTCAATTGTTCTGTTCCTTTGTAGAGGCCGCTTTGCTCATAAACACTAACTGCTAAAAAACATCAAAGAAATGCCTCTCACATACAGATAATTGATGGCTTACATCTATAGCAGTGAATGTGTCATCTGGACACCTGACTGATCAATGATGTACATAATGATGTATAGTCATAGCAATACATGTGAAGTCTGAACCTAACTGATGGATGACATGCAAAGGTAAACAGCCATAGAAGAGAAAGTGCCTACACCTAGGACACCTATGAGAGATTTATATGTCAAGGTGTCCCGTGAGTCTGGCTGTATTTGCACTGGACACATATATGTATAATATAAAACAAACGTGTACTTACATTATTCTGACTTTCTGATCTGCATGTCTGTGCCAGCTCAGTCACTCAAAAATAACTGAAGACAGACACAGCTAGAAAACTAGTATTTTTAGAACCAGGTTAATAATGGTGGCCAATTTATTTCTCCAATGACTTTCCTTTTAGCAACATTGTCAAGCAACCTGAGAGCCCAGGAGCAACTTGAAGCTGACATGTTTTTTCTTTGTTTCAAAATTTTATTGTTTAAGGCCTCGTTCACACCATACATGCAGAAAACCTGATGGAAACTGACGCACAGATTTCACTTGCAGAGACATTAGTTTACATCCGTTTTCATGCACGCGTCAGTGAGTTTTATACACATTATAGATTCCTATGGAGAAAAAATTTGCACGTGATGCTAGTGTTGTGGTGTGAAGAGGGCACATAGAAAACAATTGAATTTGCCCTTGCAGAATGCATGCAGAAAAACCAGCGTCTTTGCACCATGGTGTGAACGAGCCTACTCTCTGCTAACTTTGTAACATTTTACTTTTTTGAATATTTTTAAATATCAAAAGTTTTAATTAACTCCTTTGTGCCGATGCCTCCTTGCCCTTTAGGAGCTTTTAGATGCTGGGAGGTGGAGGCGGGCATTTGGGTCATGTGACCACTGTGATTGGCTGTCACAGCAGTCACATGATTAGAAAGCTACCGATGGCAAGTATGCATCAGGAGCTTACTGATCCCCACTGACTACTGTGCTGGGAGCATGTAGGGTGTGTCCTCTCAGCCTGGTAAGTTGTTTATACAGGCCTTCATATATGCGGGCACTCGGTGTTTAGGCCCATCCGTCAAGAGGCCGCATGTATGCATACAGCTGGCACAAAATGGTTAAAGAGTTGATATACTGGTGACATTACATGATAACTGTTCTGGATTGCAGAATCCTCTTACTGTAAGGCCCTGTTCACATTTCTTGTAGTGAGAACAAACGTTCCCACTTACAATTTGTTTTGGACAACTCTTCTTTCGCCAACTGCTCTAGGTCTCTGACTAGAAGGGTTCCTTTTCCTTACTGTTTTGAGATCTCTCCACAGGTGTTCTATAGGATTGAGATTTAGATTCATTGCTGGCCAGTTCAGTACTCTCCAGCGCTTTGTCTTAAACCATTTCTGGGTGCTTTTTGGCATGTGGTTTTGGTCATTATCTTGCTGTAAGACCCATGACCTCTGACAGAGACCCAACTTTCTGACACTGGGTCCTACATTGCACCCCAGAATTCTTTAGTAGTCTTCAGATTTCATAATGCCATGCACACGGTAAAGACATCCAGTGCCTGAAGCAGCAAAGCAACCCAAAAACATCAGTGAACCTCCACCATGTTTGACTGTAAGGACTGTACTCTTCTCTGAAACTAGTAGAATGATGGGCTTTCCAAAAAGCTGTAATTTTGTTTCGTCTGTCCACAGCACATTCTTCCAAAAGGATTTTAGCTTCCTCAGGTGAGTTTTAGCAAACTCTAATCTGGATTTTTTATGTCTCTGTGTCAGAAGTGGGGTCCTCCTGGGTCTCCTACCATAGCATTCCTTTTCATTCAGATGGCGACGTATAGTGCGAGCTGACACAGTTGTACCCTGTGCCTGAAGGTCAGCTTGAATTTGCCTGGAAGTTGATAGAGGTTCCTTGTCCACCTTTCGAACAATCCTTCATTGCAATATTTGATTGAGTTTTTCTCTTTTGTCCAGGGAGGTTAGCAACAGTGCCATGGGCTGTAAACTTCTTGACAATGTTGCACACAGTGGACACAGGAACATTAAGATCTGTTGATTGATACAGGTGAGTTTAATTCCAATTACAGGAGCATCACAAACGTGGAATGCCATTATTTCTTACAATTTGGGGAAGGTGCCAATAATTTTGTCCAGTCTATTTTGTGGGTTTTGCACTGAAAGTGTCAGATTTGGCTTTTTGTAGAGTGGTTAAATATTTGTAATTGCAACACTTTTTTGAGCGAAGTGGTGCATTATCTGATAGAAGTGCAGGGGTGTCAATATCTTTGGCCATAACTGTATATGCGCTTGCTGCAGCAAAGAAGCTTGTCCTATGCTTGTACCGATTCTGCCCATGATTCTAAATCAGACCTTAGATATATTTTAATAAGCAGAATAGTAACAAAAGAATAAAAAGATGATATTGCTGGATTTGGATGGAAAAACTCACGTTTTGAAAAGGAAAGTCAACTGAACATGGATATTTAATTTAAAAGTACCCAGTGCCTAAATAAATCACCTGTTGAGTTCATATTTTAACCAGTTTCTAGCCGCCCTATAGGAAATAGTGCTACAGAGTGGCAGGGGTGCACAAAATCAAGTATATATACGTGATTTTGCATTTCCGGGTAGGGGGTCCCACCCGCGCTACCATTCGTGGCCTCAGCTGTCAATCACCGGGTCCCGGCCGGTGATTATTTGCTGGCACTCGGTGATTGCTGAGTATTACTGACGGGGGAGAGAACTGTATGTAAACAATATAGTTCTGTCAGCTCCAGCACAGTGCTTTGTATGGCTCTGCATAGCAGAGCCATACAAAGCAATGTGCTTACAGTGGAAAGCACAGACACAGCCCCCATAGTGAAACAGCACACAGTTAACCCTTTGATCACCCCAGATGTTAACCCCTTCCTGCCCAGTGCCATTAGAACAGCGTCAGTTCTTTTTATTAGCACTGATCACTGTATTGGTGTCACTGGGGATGTCAGTGACACCAAGTCAGTTCCCCCCAGTGTCAGAATGCCTGCCGCAGTCCCGCTATAACTCTCTGATCGTCGTCATTACTAGTATAAAAAACCCCAACAAATTCCAGTATCTATAACCGCCATTTGTAAACACTATAACTTTCACGCAAAACCATTTCATTTACATGTATTGGGATTTTTTTTAGAAAAGACATGTAGCAGAATACATTTTGCTCTAAATTTATGACAAAATTTGATTTTTTTAAAAAAAATTTATTGGACATGTTTAATAGCAAAAAGTCAAAAATATAGTTTTTTTTTCTCAACATCAGTGTTTTTTTGTTTATAGCAAATACCACTGAAAGAAAGCTCTATTTGTGGGGGAAAAAGGACATAAATTTAATTTGGGTGCATGATTGCGCAATTGCCAGTTAAAGTAACGCAGCTGCGTAACACAAAAAATGGCCAGGTCAGGAAGGGGGGTAAATCCCCTGGAGGGCGAGTGGTTAAGAAGGCTCCAGTAGCAGGACATCCCTACTGGAGCTCTCAGCTCTGATCTGTTAACACTGCAAAGTAAAGCTTGTGGCTCACTCCTCCTGCTGAATTCTATGGAATGTAGATTAAATGCTATATAGAATCCTGTATATTAGTAGTAGTAGTAATAATAATAATAAATTAATAAACAGAGAAACTAGAGGCAAGGGCTAGATTACCTATCAAACATGGCCATAGCAGGCTGACAGACTGGGTTGCACTCAGCTTTTATACGTAGATGTTTACATATGTTCAGGCTTTCTTTGTTTGGTAATTTGCAATATACAGATTAGTATAAGGGCTAATAATAGGATTCTGGAATACTTTCACTGTTTTTACACTCCCTGATAACATCTTTGAAGCTATGCCTGGGATTAGTTGACATTTTTGGTAACTGTTATGTTGTTAGTAAAGCTCCTTTTGGCCATACTTGTCCTGTGGGTCACAGGAGTGCACATAGTTCAGATGTCACTGAGCTGGTCCAGACTCTGGAGCAGGGGCGGACTGACCATTCGAGCCCGGGGGCCCCATGAGTTGTCAGTCCGCCCCTGCTCTGGACGGATCCCGACAGTATTTGTAGCTGCTAACTTTTAATTTTTTTGAGGGAAGCTAAAGCTCCTCTTTAATTACATATTAAGATACAACTGTTTTAAAAGTTTTGCTAGGGTTGGTAGATAAAGAGTTATAAAAGGATTGCAATTCTTACCTTCGCTGGCAAGCCTTATTCTCTTTTCAGTGCTTGCCGCATATCTAAAAGCTTTTAGTATTTGGTCACATAAATTTTACTGAAAGGAAGGATCATTCTGTTGGTGGAGCCAGTTTGTTGGTACCCAAGTTGGAAGAATGGCACACAGAGCCCAAGGAAAGGTTGACCAATTATTATTTTGTAACTTACAGCTAAACAGATAACAAGTGAAGTACCATTCGGCAATCATCATCACTAGTAATGTGGCTGCAGTAACTGTGGCAAAACATTTGCCATAACAATTCCAAGCAGTATGGTCTTCTCAAACACAGTGGCACTGACAACACAGGTGTAGAAAGGCTAGTAGGTGTTTACTTAGCAATGTTGGCAGTACATTGGCAGAATTCCAGCATAAGGGTTGGTATGGCTTACATTGCCAGAGCAGGATCTGTGTAGGGAGGTGAATGATAGGCAGAGTGGTGGTGCAAATGGCAATTATATGGTCAGTTCAAGTCCTTTGACACAGCACTGGAGGATAGCAGAGCAGACAGCAGTGTCCCTAATTAATATTTCCTTCAACAGCAACCTTTTCCCTAGGGCTAATTCACTGTCCCTGACAAGCATGGTTCCTTTCCTTAGTCTATTCATTTGCAAATGTGAACCGAATACAGTGGGGCACTGCTATTTATAAGCATTGCCCACACTAAAGATGGCCAGGGAGGTCACCCAGTGATGAAGTGTTCAGTTGTATCACTGCTGTCCTGGTAACACCTATGGAGTCTGCAGAGGAACAATGTTCCTCTCAACCTCCACTCCCTCTGTACATTGGTCAGCAACAGTGCCACCTACAGAAGGGAGGGTAAACTGCACCTGCCTATACGCCAATCTAAATGATGTTTTTGTCTTTCAGCAGAAATCACATGACCCAATGGCTAATTCTTCATGCAAGTGGCCAGTATTAAGAGGAATATGGTGCAGCATATCCTTATCTCCAGCTAGACAAGAGTTGTCTTCAAAAGGTAAACATGGTAACTGAGTTTTCTTGTTACAGGTCCAGTGTAAATATCTCAGCTCCTGACGTGGTGCTGAAAAAGATTACAGCCTTGGGAAGAAATGGACAATTGTTTGGATTCTAATTCCTGTCTTTCTGGGTATCTTGGGCTCACAGTTCCTCATCTGTCTCTGCCTGTCTAACAGCTTCTTCATTTTGGTTGATCTCAACCACAATGCCTAGCTGGCAGATCTAGTTGTGTCAGCTGTGCAGACACAACTTATCTGCCCTGACGATGTCATTTATGATGCAACACGTAGGGCAGAGCTTACGCTCATTACGTCATCCTGCAAAAGAAAACTAGGAAGCAACTGCGGCCGATTCTGGGATTGGTATTACATGTGTTCAATGCTTTTAATATCTTTGTTAATGTGAGTAGTTACAAATGCATTTTAATAAATATGGCTTTACAGCAGCAATTTTTTCTTTATTTATACTGTGGAGAGAACTTCCATTGTTCTCTGTTTAGTTCTATTGGTTCTATATCAGTTTTTTGCAGCTTACACTGTGCATAAAACTGAATAATTTTTCTCCTTTTGATTTTTTGTGTGATCTTGGCAGCCATACCTGCCCTTGGATTGACAGGGGCTAATTTACTAAGGACAAATAGGCTGTTCACTTTGCAAACAAAGTTACATTTTGCATTGAAATTTCCCCTATAACATGCAAGGAAAAAATTGGACGATGGAAGTCAGCAGAACTTCACCTTATTCACTAAGTTCTGGGGATAATTTCCTTCGAAAATGAATGATCTATTTGCCTTTAGTAAATTAACCCCTCAGTGTCAACATGGTTGCTTAGACAGCACTTCCAGACAGGATACAGTACTGTCAGTGACCAGGATATACTGAAAGAGTAAGTGACAAAGGGATGTACAAACTAATACAATATATGACCAAAAGCATGTGGACACCTCTCCAGATTATTACGTTCAGGTGTTTTTAGACTATGTTGAATTTCTTCCTTTGTGACAACAGTTCAGGCAAGGCCATTTCTTTTTCAGCATGATTGTGCCCTTTGCACATAGCCAGATCCATAAAGACATGATTTGATGAGTTTGGTGTGGAGGAACTTGAGTGGACTCCACAGAGCTGACACAAACCCTACTGAGCACCTTTGGGAAGAATTGGAACGCTGATAGTAGGAACGATCTTCTCATTCTATATCAATACCTGACCTCACAAGTGCTCATTCAGCTTGATGGGCACAAATTCCTACAGACATTGTCCTAAATCATGTGAAAGCCTTCTCAGAAAGTGCAGGCTGTTATAGTCACAAAAGGCAAGACAACTATATATTTTTGATATGGGATGCCCAGCCAGCTCATATTGGTGAGTTCAGGGATGGGACAAAGGGGTGGGTGGAAGGGGCAGCTGCCCTGGACACAATGGTTTGCTGTAGGGATGGGGAGTGACTGCTGGGCGTAGGATCCCCTAAGCTTGCACATCATGAACCGGGGTGGGAGAAGGGGTTTAGTTTGGCATCTTTGCCCTGGGTGCTGGATGACCTTGTCCCTGCACTGGGTATGGTAATCAGGTGTCCATAAACTGTTGCCATATAGGGTATAGATATTTCAGCTTGAGGATTCTGAACTCTAAAATTAATATTCTTTTGTGTGCTGCACCTTAAAGCAAAAGAGTCTTTTGCTTAATAAGAAATTAGTCATTCAAAGACAATAAAACCCATTAGCCATTAAACCCTCAGCCAACAGCACACATATTCTGGAATGTGAAGTAATGGAACCTTGTCTCTTATCCTCCACACTTGAATATAGTGTTGATGAACATTACTCTGATGACGAAGCTCTATTTGCTGAAGAGAGAAAGCAACAATGCTTGAGTGGCACCACAAACAGACACCTAGTCACTGGAGCATTTCCTGTCATGCCATTTCTTTTCTCAACACAAAGAGATATTTCCACCCTCCAACAGGTCTTTGGGATTCTGAAGATTGATGTATCTACTCTTTATTTAGATATCATGAGAATATGAGATGGTTTATTGAAAAGATTAAGAACATAGCAACATTCAGCTAAAGTCCATAGTAAAACTTAACCCAGATGTTTCTAAATAAGTGTTTAACATGACGATAAGCAGTGGTTATAATCTATTCAAAAAATATATTTGTAGCACCCTCCTAGTTAGGTGCTAGAAGTGAGGAAAGATGTTAGCGGAACGTGGTGATGGTCACCGCCATTTTGGTACACCTTGGAAGTATAATCCCATATAGATACATGTGTTTGAGGTCTGATTTCAACTGATGTGATGTAAGTGTTCATTTGGCATTTCTCCATTAAAGATTTTGCTTTAAAATTACTACTCTATGGGAGTGCCCTCTCTTTTTCCTTTGGGGTGTATCTGAACTGGCTGATGTTCCTGTGAAAATGATTACCAGTTTCAACACTACTGAAATCATTATGGTTATACGGTGAGGAAGGCCATATTCCTGTGATCGGTGTGATTCTATCATCTTGGATATCTATTAAGGGCCCTGGGAGTGTGAGGCCTGAAAGCTGTGTGGCCCCTTGGGGTCTTGGTGTGGAGGTGAGGAGGCATTTTAGCCGGTGACGGATTTATCATTCATTTCATCCAGTTGCTTTGTTCGTTTGGAGTTGGCGGTCTACTTACATGGACTTTATGCCGATTTGATAATCACTTATGTTTATTTTGATGGCCACTCATTATTTGTTATATGTCACGTTGTTTTAATTATTTTTTGTGCTTATTGACGTTTATTTCCACTGTGCGTTTTTCACTGGCATCAATCCTGATTAAAAGGTGCATTTTTAGTTTCATGCACCTTGTATGATTAGTTTT